CAGCTCAGCCCTGTGCCCGCGCAGGAGTCGTGGCTGCCCGCGCCGCTGTGGTAGTGCCCGAAGTGTTGTGCGCTGAGCGATGCTCGGAGCACTGCTCTCTGCTCTGTGGCAGTCTGTGTGCCTCCCAGCACTGCTGGCTGCCCAGAGCTCTGGCTCCAGGCAGGGGAAGGTCCAAGCTGTGGCCCTCTGGGCGCAGTCAGGAGAGGATGGCTGTGCCACCTGGGCTGCTGCAGTCTGCTGGCAGCTCACACCCGCTGCCAACACCACGGCTGGGCCTGAGCCGGCAGGATAAGGTGTCGGGTTTAGCTTTTTTGTTTCCACCCCGGTGGGTGGTTTTGTCCCTCGTGCGGTGGCTGACGTTGTACCAGAAGGTGGTCAGGACAAGGGTCATTGTTTTAGGATGTGTTTGGACAGTGCAGAAGACAATGGGGGCCACTCTGAGACATAAATAGCCTTGATTGTCAGCTGCTTCCTAAGTGCCTCTTGGGAACAGGGACGGCTTCTCTTCCTCTCCCCTCCCATTGTTAATTTCTTTAGAGATGTTTTTTGCTTTATGCTTGCCAACAGATTGGCTATTAAAAGATTTAGGACTTCACACGTGCAAAATAGAGCCAAAGTGAGTGCTTGGGCTGGTATCTTGTAAATTAAGGTTTGGTAACCTTCTAAACCTTTCTGAGTCTCTCAAACGTTTGTCATTTTATTAATAGGTTGTCCTTGTAGATTACAGGATGCAGTTGAAAGGAGAGCAGTTACAGAACATGCTGTAATTGCTAGAGAGGTGCCTTAAAGAATGTAGGGGAAAGCTAGCTAGCATGGAACTACATGTGAACGCTGACCTCTGCGACAGCAGTGACACAGCACACGTGTCTTTGGGCCACAGCTACTCCTACCAGATCACTCTAATGGTAACACGGTGTGAGGAGACTTGAGAAAGTGAAGAGCCTTTGGAAATCAATTCACACCTCAGATACGTAGTGCAGGTACAATACCTGGTTTGGTTGTACTAGTGAACCTTTTTGAAAGCTTCATTGCTTTTGCTTAGTCAAGGTAATCATGTTAGCTTGAGCAGGTGATGTCTGAGGTGATATTTACCTGAGAGGAACAAAGTTTGCTTTATTCAGGGGAGATGTATTTGAAGATAATTTCGTTAGTTATTTTCCAGCGTTTAAGCAGGTGGAGTCACTAGCTGGGGTGGTGAATGTTTTAGTGTAATTGTTGTTCTGTCTTCCTCAATGAAAAAAATCCCAAGGAAGACAATGGAGAATAGACAGGAAGTTGTTTCTTTAGGCTGCATGTTTGACAGATACGAAACTAACATTGTGTGTTGACTTTTTTGGCTACAGTGGGGGATAATAGTTGATTACATGACCTGCCTGTGTAGATAAGCAAAGTTCTTGTTGGAAAACTGCAATTGCTTTGTGTTAACAGCCCAGCAAACACCTAGGAGTGCTTAACTGCTGACTGATGCCCTGTGCTGCTGGAACCTGTCTGAACATCATTTTTCTGTCTTTACACAGTGAATCTCCTCCTGACTGGGAAAATAGAAAGTGCTGTTACCTCGTTAGGTAAGACATACTTTTCTTATTTGTATTTACTGTTCTTCTGAGCTGTTACTGCTTCTTCCCCACACAAGGAGATCTTTTAATGAAACAGTATGACCTTTGTTTGGGAGAGGCTAACAATGACGTTTTAGGAAGTTCAGGACTTTTAAGTCTTCCTGGGGTGATAGGCTCCATCAGTGTCACTGTGCTGGAAAAAAACCTGCAGCCTTGAGGCTAAGATCATGGTACGTGCTGATAGGTTCAGGGGAAAACTCCATGTTTAGGAAATGTGCCCGAGAATATCAAGCCAGTGACAGTGGCCCATTCCTGGGGACGCTGAAACGAGAATGTTAAAAATGTCTTATGAATGTCAAAGTGGAAATTCAAGCAGAATTGCAGCACTTTGTGTAATTTCCTTCTCTGTGGCAGTGCTGTGACTTACTGAAGCTACGGGAACGTTGCAATCAGGGCCTCTCAGTGACGAGGGCCCTCTTGCCTCTGTGGCTCCAGTCACACTGGCAGGCATGCCTTAAGCTGCAACTTAAATTAAAGCAGAAAAAGCCAAATAAGGGAAACAGGAGGGAAGGATATGGGAAAACACAAAAATAATTCCGAGGCAGTAGATCAGCTAATATGGGAGCTTGAGTGTTCGAGTCAACGCGGGGGTTTGGGGGAAGGTTTAAGTTAGGAAAAGGTGGTAATTCTATGGTTAGGTGACTTCCTTAAACTGAGCTTAGAGAAAGTGTGGATGGACCGTGTAGGATGTGTTTTTCGGAACACAGTGTTTTCCTTCTTTCGTTGGAAGAGTGTAGAATGTCATCTGTGTCCTAGTCTGTTCTGCCTGGATGGTTCTTTGGTTTTTGATGGAGTTTGGCATCTGTTGGCTGTATGATGTATGAGTTTACAAAGTGTAGACTAAGTAATTACGCAGTGGTTGGCCTAGACTGGTGATACTGCCTCGGCCTGAAATATGTAAGGCTTCAGCCAGCTGGCTCTGCTGCTTTCTGCTGCTCTTCTTTTGCTAGAAATGGAGTTGTAACATCTGGATTTTATTGTTTCAAGTATGCTGAAAACCTCCTGGTGGTGTAACTGTAGCTGGGGACAAAAAAGATCATAAAAGGTCATTGCAATGGCCTGATCCATGTATAGCTTCTCTTACCTGTGTGTTGGAGGAGAGGTGATGGTAATCCAGTCGCGAGGCAGATGACCCTGCCAGGGATTGTCTTGCAGGAGCTGTTCCTCAGGAGCCCTGGTGAAAGCTGGGAGCAATGTTTGCTGTTCCAAACACACCCTGACAAAGCAGCTCATGACAGCGCTGGGCTCTGTGATCAGCTATAGTGAGGTTTCTTTTCAGAAAGCAAGTCATAGCAGAAACCATGAGTTCTGGAGAGTGCAGGCCAGGCCACCGTCTGGGCTGTCATTGTGCAAAGACTTTAAGCCAAGCAAGGTGCTGCTGTGCCCAGGAGAGTCCTGCCCTGAGCCCCCATCTCCCAGGCTCACGGCGAGCCAGCTCAGCCTGCTCAGCCAGCACTGTGAGCTCAGGTTTTGTCAGAGCGGCGAGGGGAACCCCTGGGCTGTGCCTCTGCTGCCTCTGATCGGGGGCAGGAGCACTGGGCAGAGCCAAGGGAAGCCTTTAGACCTCTCTTGTCCACGGGCATAAAGGACCTGCATCAAAGCACGTGTG